TTACAAAGGATCTTCATAAAACTGTCATCAGACTTCTTATCAAAAACCACTGAGGTGAGAACATAATGCACCCACACACTGTGTCATGAGTCGGCTGTACCAGAAACACAGACGAACACCTTTGTGCCTTTCCACAATGTCAAAATTTACTAAATCACAATAACGTCACAAGGTTCAGCAGTTTCAATGGCAGCAATATGCCAAATAATCCTGCCTACTCTGTTAATCTGGCTGATGCAAATGTGGGTGGGTTTTTTTATTCCAATCCTACTAACATTAACTCCGTATTTCACAGGTCACACAGCACACAATAAATATGCCTATATACCTATATGCACATATGTGGTTTAAAGAATGAATAAAAATTAAAGAGTCTGTAGGAGAGTTCAAAAGGTTTCAGAAATGGATTGAAAGAGATTCTGTATTGATAGATAAGGAACCAGACCAGTGCCAAGAAGGAGCTGCTGGAGTCAGGGTTTCTGTGCAAAGCTGCAGAGTTTAGGTGCAAGATGAAAGGGAAACAATAGATTCAGGTTTTGTAGAAAGGTAACAGGCAGGCAGTGGAGCAGACCTTGTCAACAGCTGGGGAACAAACCAAGCTGAAACTCTAGGACAGTCCAGAATCCTCTGCTTGTTGGTATCAGATGACAGATTGGTGTGGGGCCATTGCAATATTAGGTATCCATCATTTTATGGGGTCCAAGTATAGGAGTTATACCCATTCCTCAGTCTGGTGTGTCTGAAAAGTTCTTGGGCCTGTTTCCCTGATAGGACTTTAATACACTGTTCTGGATAGCTTTAGTATCAACTTGACACACCTGGGATGAGGGAGCCTCAACTGGGGAATTTCCTCCATTGAACTGGCCTGTGGCCATGTCTGAGGGGCATCTTCTTGACTGTTGAGTGATGTGGGAGGGCCCAGCCCACTGTGGGTGGTGCCACCCATGGGCAGGTGGGCCTGTGTTGCATAAGAAAGCAGGCTGAGCAGGTACCAGGGGAGCAAGCCAGTAAGCAGTGTTCTTCCTTGGCCTGTGCTCCAGCTCCTGCCTCCAGGTTCCTGCCCTGAGTTCCTACCTTGGGCTCCCTGATGAACTGTGACCCGTGACCCGGGAGATATAAGCCTAATAAACCCTTTCTTCCCCAGGTTGGTACTGGTCAGAGTATTTTGTCACAGCAAAAGAGAAACATACCAGAACATATACTCATGTACCCCTACATCTCAATTCACTATGATAAATGTACAGGGGAGCTCCCTTTCTACTCTTAGGATAGGAATGAGTCATTTATCAATCTGTTCTGGATGGATGGTGCCTGATAGATGGTATAGCCTGTGAGTCCACCCAGGGGCTATATTCATCCTTTTCTCTCAAAGTGGAGTCCAAAACTGCTTATAAAATAGAGCCTCTCAGGACAAGGAACAGTCTGAAAACACAGTATGGAATAGCCTGGAGCATGGCATTAGCCTGATCTCAACATATTCAAAATTTTGGGGGAGGGGCAGTTCCTGTATTTAGTAACTCTCCTTTAAAGTTATTGAGCATCAGTCTGGCATGATGGCACATGCCTTTAATCTCAGAGATCAAGGCCAGTCTACATTTCAAGTTTCAGGTCTGCTGGAGCTACAGAGAGACCCTATCTCCAAAAACCAAACACAAAAAACAAGAGTTACAGATGGCTGTGAGTTACAGATGGTTGAATTACAGATGGTTGTGAACTGCCTCCAGGGAATGCTAGGATCTAAACTCCAGTCTTCTGTAAGAGCAGCAAGTACTCTTAATTGCTGGACTATTTCCAGTCCCCTGAGGATATAATTTGGTGGCAGCCACAGTGACAGGGATAGAGACAAGGATGGAAAAGGACAAAGGTTTTTATGTTATGGAAATTAAACTGATATAATTCAAGCTAAAATATAAATTTAGAATGGCAAACATAATCCCCATGATAACCAACCCTAAGTAAATGGATAAATATACCCTAGAAGAAATAAAAAAGGATTATATTTTCTGTGCTGGATAGCTTTAGTTATCAACTTGACACATCTGGGTAAAGGGAGCCTCAATTGGGGACTTGCCTCCATTCGACTGGCTGTGGCCATGTCTGAGGGGGGAGGGCCCAGCCCACTGTGGGTGGTGCCACCCCTGGGCAGGTGGGCCTGTGTTGCATAAGAAAGCAGACTGAACAAGGACCAGAGGAGCAAGCCAGCAAGCAGCATTCCTCCATGGCCTGTGCTCCAGCTCCTCCCTCCAGGTTCCTGTCCTGAGTTCCTACCTTGGGCTCCCTCAGTGCTGAACTGTAACCCAGGAGATGTAAGTCGAATAAACCCTTTCCTCCCCAAGTTGGTATTGGTCAGAGTATATTGTCACAGCAATAGAAAAACAAACAAGAACATTATCTAACTAAAAAATAATAATAATAAACATAAAAAGAGGACAAGTCAGGAAATGGACAAAAATCTAACAGCAAAAATGACATAAGCAAATCTTTACATTTCAGTAATTTCATTAAATGTGAATACATTAAATCCATCAGTTAAAAAAACCAGCAATTAAAAAAGTAGATAAAAGCATATAATCTAATTATATGATAGGTCCCCAGTTTCTATCCAAAGGAACAGCAGAATGAAAATGGAAAGATACAAAAAGTATTTAATGTAAACAATAAAAAAAAGTGCTAGTATTTACACAATCATCAAACAAAACTGAATTTTAAATCAAAAGACATTGCAGGTCTCAAGGAAGGACATTATATATTAATAAAGGGGTCACTAGAGCAAGGAAATATGAAGCTAATTATGCATCATAAAAAATAAGGCAAGGGCTGGAAAGATGTCTCAGTGATTAAGAGCACTGGTTGCTTTTGCAGAGAACCCAGGTTCTGTTCCTGGCACCCACATGATGGCTAACAACCATCTGTAAGTCTAGTTCCAGGGGATCCGATTCCCTCTTCTGGCCTCTGTGGGCACTGCATGCACATAGTGTACTTACATATATGCAGTTAAAAAACTCTTATATTGAGGCTGGGCATGGTAGCCCACACCTTTAATCCCAGCACTTGGGAGGCAGAGGCAGGCAGATCTTTGTGAGTTCAAGGCCAGCCTGGTCTACATAGTGAGTTCCAGGACAGCTGGGGCTACAGGGAGACCATGTCTC